ATAATTTAAAAATGAATGTTTTGGGGAAGCCGAAAAGTGGGGCCCTCGTATATTTAAATTTTTGATGAGATGTTTTTTAATTTTGCCATAAATGCGGGGGCAGACAGGGGGCCCTTTTTACTGGTTGGGGAAATTAAATTCCAGATCTTGGCCCTTTATGTACATGCTTTTTTGTATAGGGTGAGACGGACATGGGGGTGTCAAAGACAGTTTAGTGCCTTGGTTGTGCCTTTGTGTTTTTTTTGAGCTATCAATAATTTTGAGAGGGGGTTTAAATTTTGGGAGTTAAAGTTTTTATTTACAGTATGGAGGCACAATAATTTTTTTTTTTTTTTTTTATTATCAACCGGCCGTTCCCCCAAGGCAGGGTGGCCGAAAAAGAAAAATTTTCCCTTTTCATCCATCACTGTTTGCAGAGGGTGCTTTCCCCAAAAAGTTTTTAAACTGAAACTTAACACCCCTCCTCAGAGTGCAGGCACTGTACTTCCATCCCGGGATCAAGTCGGCCTGCCGGTTTCCCCTGAATCCTTCTAAAGTTACTTTGCTACACTAAAACGCACGTCAAGTTTAAAAAACCCCATTTGTCTCCATTCACTTATCAAAAACGCTCAGCATGCCTGGGAAGTCCCCAAAACCCCCCGCCACAAAAACCCCCTTTACCCCCCCCCTCCAACCCCTTCCCAGGCCGCCCCTCCCCCCCTTCCTTCCACTACAGATGTCACTCTTGAAGTCTTTGTTTCGCTCCATTCTCTTAAGTCGAACCCCCCAACAAACCCTTTCCCCAGCCCCCTTTGGAAAAAGTTTTGGGAACCCGACCTCCTCCCAACTTCCAAAAATACGAATTCTTGATTAATTCAACCCCCATTGCCCCCAGCACGACATCTCCACTGCCTCCAGCCTTCTCCTCGCTGCAACTTTATCACCCGCTTCACACCCATTTTTAAAAGCGTTGGTTTTAAAAATATCTCATAATTCCCCTTTGCCCCCCAAGGACAAATTTCTTTGTTCCACAGACTCCAAGTGCCCACCCCCTCTTTTTCCTATCAATTCTATGATTACCCCATTTTTTTAGACCCATCGTGACACGTTTCCCCTCCCAAATATCTGAATCGTTTACCTCCTCCCTTTCTCCCCTCCCAAATTTTATTTAATCTTTTACTAATTTTTTTTCCTCATAACCTTTCTCTTTTCCCGTTTTTCCCCTTTTAATTTTTTTCTTTTGCACCCCTACCAAATTCATCCCCCCAATCTCTGCAATTCTTTCAGAATTCCAAGAGCACAGTGTCATCAGCAAGGCAGTGTGACAAATCCCCCTTTGTGTGTTTTCTTTATCTTTTAACTCCACGCCCCTTGCCAAAAGCCCCCGCATTTACTTCTCTTACAACCCCTCTATAAATATATTAAAAACCCCGGTGACATCACCATCACACACCTTGTCCTAAGGCTTTCTTTTACTGGAAAAATTTCCCTCTTTCCTACATACCCTAACTTGAGCCTCACTATCCCCGTTAAAAACTCTTCACTTGCTTTCAGTAACCTACCTCCTACACCATACACTTGCAACATCTGCCACATGCCCCCTATTCCACCCTGTCATACGCCTTTTCCAAATCCATAATGCCAAAAGACTTTTTTAGCCTTATCTAAATTACTGTTCACTTATATGTTTCATGTAAAACCTGGTCCACACACCCCCTTCCTTTCTAAAGCCTCCTGTTCATTGCTATTCCCTATTCTCCGTCTTACTCTTAATCTTTTATTTTTAACTCTAATCACTTTACCAGGTACCTCAACAGACTTATCCCCTATAATTTTTTCCTCTCTTTTATCCCCTTTGCCTTTTACAAAGGGAAATATGATGCTCTCTGCCAATCCCCAGGTCCTTACCCTCTTTCCTACATTTATTAAATAATTGCACCAACCACTCAAAACTATATCCCACCTGCTTTTTAAAATTTCTTTTTCTCTTACTCTTCCCTCCTTGCATCACTTTACTTTGTAAAAATTCTATATGCTAACTTTTTTCCCTTACTCTCTCTTTACATCATCATTCCACCAATCGTCTCTTCCTCCTGCACCCATTTTTCCTGTAACCACAAACTTCTGCTGAACCTCTAACACTACATTTTTAAACCTACCCCATACCTCTTCGACCCCATTGCCTATGCTCTCATTAGCCCATCTATCTCCAATAGCTGTTTATATCTACCCTAACTGCCTCCTCTTTTAGTTTATAACCTTCACCTCTCTCTTCCCTGATGCTTCTATTCCCTTGTATCCCATCTACCTTTTACTCTCAGTGTAGCTACAACTAGAAAGTGATCTGATATATCTGTGGCCCCTTATAAACATGTACATCTGAAGTCTACTCAACAGTCTTTTATCTACCAATACATAATCCAACAAACTACTGTCATTTCGCCCTACATCATATCGTGTATACTTATTTATCCTCTTTTTCTTAAAATATGTATTACCTATAACTAAACCCTTTCTATACAAAGTTCAATCAAAGGGCTCCCATTATCATTTACACCTGGCACCCCAAACTTACCTACCACACCCTCTCTAAAAGTTTCTCCTACTTTAGCATTCAAGTCCCCTACCACAATTACTCTCTCACTTGGTTCAAAGGCTCCTATACATTCACTTAACATCTCCCAAAAATCTCTCTCTCTCCTCTGCATTCCTCTCTTCTCCAGGTGCATACACGCTTATTATGACCCACTTCTCGCATCCAACCTTTACTTTAATCCACATAATTCTTGAATTTACACATTCATATTCTCTTTTCTCCTTCCATAACTGATATTTAACATTACTGCTACCCCTTCCTTTGCTCTAACTCTCTCAGATACTTCAGATTTAATCCCATTTATTTCCCCCCACTGAAACTTCCTACCCCTTCAGCTTTGTTTCGCTTAGGGCCAGGACATCCAACTTCTTTTCATTCATAACATCAGCAATCATCTGTTTCTTGTCATCCGCACTACATCCACGCACATTTAAGCAACCCAGTTTTATAAAGTTTTTCTTCTTCTCTTTTTTAGTAATTGTATACAGGAGAAGGGGTTACTAGCCCATTGCTCCCGGCATTTTAGTCGCCTCATACGACACGCATGGCTTACGGAGGAAAGATTCTTTTCCACTTCCCCATGGACAATAGAAGAAATAAAAAAGAACAAGAGCTATTTAGAAAAAGGAGAAAAACCTAGATGTATGTATATATATATATGCATGTGCGTGTCTGTGATGTGTGACCAAAGTGTAAGTAGGAGTAGCAAGATATCCCTGTTATCTTAGCGTGTTTATTTTATATATGAACCCTTTTGCTGACTGTGACATAGAACTATGGGTCTGAGGTCAATGTCAGTGTCGTAGTAGTATGCCATGAGCTCAGCTCACTCAAATAAGCTGTGAGTGGTAAATTTGGGCCTAGATATGAGAGAATGGGTCTAAGTGATAAGTATGCACCATATAAATAATCCTGCAGCACGCAGTGCATAATGAGAAAAAACTTGCGACCATGTTTTTGGTTTAAAACAGAGACTGTGGTATATTTTCATATGGTTTTAATGGTTGCATTCTCAGTTTCTTGGTCTCATTTGACAGAGTATAAGGGATGCTTCTACAAGATTGTGACTATGAAGGCTAGAAGAGGAATAGACAGTTTTATCAGAGGACCAGTTAATAAGATGACTGTGATCTCTAACATGACAGAAAATAACATTACTAGTGTTGGCAAGTCTAACACTTCTTTTGTACTCTTTAAGTCTGTCAGAAAGAGACTGGCCAGTTTCTCCAAAGTATTGAGAGGACAAGAGGAACAGGAAAGAGTAGAATCCATAAGTATAAGTAGCAGGAGAAGAGGTATAAAAGAGATTACTACAAAGAGTATTAGTTTGACAAAAAGTAAGTTTGATGTCTAAGGAATGGAGTGAATTGTTAAGATCTGAGAGACTGAAAATATAAGGAAGGCAGAGAACAGCAGACTTCACAGGAGTAGAGAGTTTGGAAAAAAAGAGTCTGTTTAGCACATGAGAAGGCAGAGTTTATGAAATTGGAAGGGTTGCCAAGATGAGAGAACGAATTGTGAAGTGAAAATTTCCTTTCCTTAATATACATGTCCATAGCACAGCTACAGGCTTTTCCTTTTCCATTTATCACAAAGCTATGCACAGTGGCATGTACATTCACTACTTTTCTTACCATGTTCCCTCTGTCAAGAAAAGCGTTCTTATTTCTCTCTTTGTCTGTGCCCTCCGTATTTGTGACACTCAGTTCCTTGACTCAGAAATTTCCAGTCTGCAATTCATTCTCTTGAGTACCGTTCTGATTTCATAAACCCTGCCTTCTCACATGCTAAACAGACTTTCTTCTCTCCCAAACTCTACTCCTGTGAAATCTGTTCTCTGTGTAGGGTATATGTAGCTTTAAACACTGAGAATAGAACAACTTTCACAAATTTATCAGAAAAACTAATCATCTGTCACTAAAATCTCCTGTACAGTAATTACCTGTGCAACAGTTAGGTATCTTTATTTCGAAACGTTTCGCCTACACAGTAGGCTTCTTCAGTCGAGTACAGAAAAGTTGATAGAAGCAGAAGATACTTGAAGACGATGTAATCAGTCCATCACCCTTGAAGTTTTGAGATGGTCAGTCCCTCAGTCTGGAGAAGAGTATTGTTCCATAGTCTGAAACAATATTGTTTCAGACTATGGAGAGTATTGTTCCACAGTCTGAAACAATATTGTTTCAGACTATGGAACAATACTCTTCTCCAGACTGAGGGACTGACCACCTCAAAACTTCAAGGGTGATGGACTGATTACATCGTCTTCAAGTGTCTTCTGCTTCAATCAACTTTTCTGTACTCGATTGAAGAAGCCTACTGTGTAGGTGAAACGTTTCGAAATAAAGATACCTAACTGTTGCATATGTGTCTTACCTAACAACCTGTCGGTATTTTATACCATTTTAATGTTCACAGTAATTAC